TGAAAACTTGTAAACGGCCAAGATCCCCACCCCGAAACCATATATATTCTTGTATGGGACAATAAAACAAATCTAATGAAATATAGGGGAAGTCCGCGGGGGTAGCCCCAAACCCCTCCTGTTTGAGAACTTGTAAACGGTCGAGATCCCCACCCATAAACCATATATATATTGTTGTATGGGACAATAAAACAACTAATGAAATAAAGGGGAAGTCCACGGAGGTAACCCCCACCCCCTTCTTTTTGAAAACTTGTAAACGGTCAAGATCCCTATCCCTAAACCATATATATATACTTTTATGGGACAATAAAACAAATCAAATGAAATTTAGGGGAAGTCCCCTGGGGTAACCCCCATCCCCCTTCTATTTGAAAACTTGTAAACGGTCGAGATCCCCACCCCGAAACCATATATGTTTTTGGATGGGACAATAAAACAAATCAAATGAAATAAAAGGCGACTCCCGTGAGGTCACCCCCCCCCCCCCTGTTTGAGAACTTATAAACGGTCGAGATCCCCACCCCTAAACCATATATATTCCTGTTCGTCATTTCAAGAAGATTTGAATGACATACAGGGTCAATCCATATGCGTCACTTATGCATATCACAAACCAATTTGTACTGGACTTTGCCCAATGTCAGGCGACCATGGGAATGACGAATTATGGGAGCCATGTTTGGGAGACTTCGTAACAGGATGCTGTTACAATCATTTCTTGTTACTGATAAGTTTTATAGATTTTGAAAAAACATGTAATAATGATAAATAAAATTTTGGATTTTTTTCTTCTTTTCTTTGGTAAATTGTTTGAAGAATTTTGTGGCAAGTTTGTTTGTTATTCTGTAAAAACTAATTTTCTGAATGCTATATATTTTTTTTGATGAAGTGAACTCCTTTAAAAACTAAGCTTATATTGTCTATTAATAAACAGATATTTAGATTTCTGATTTTGGGCCCAGTTTTCAAGTTGGTCCAAAATGGGGTACAAAATAAAACTGTGTTTGATTTCAGCATAAATTTAATATATATAGGGTTCTTCGAAATGCTTAATCTAAACCTGTATTTATTTTCATTATTAATAAGATAATACCACATTGAGGTCCAAAGGGTCCTAAATTAAACTTTTGTTTAATTTCATCAAAAATTGAATTCTTTGGTTCTTTGATATGCTGATTCTAACAATGTTTGAGTGTTAAATCATATCTAATTCTAGAGAACTGATTCAGCACTGGTTGTTGTTATTATATTATTGATTATAATTTGAAAAATTGCATCATATCCTATTTTAGAGAACTATTTATCCAGTTTGAGTTATTTCCCTTTGCGAAGAAAATATTATGGATAAAATTAAACTGTGTTTCATTTCAACATACATTTAATATATATAGGGTTCTTTGAAATGCTGAATCTAAACCTGTATTTAAATATTAGATTTTTGGGCCCAGTTTTTAAGTTGGTCCAAAATTAAACTTTGTTTGATTCAACAAAAATTGAATTTATGGGGTTCTTTGAAATGCTGAATTTAACCATGTATTGAGAGATTTTGGATTGTGGGCTCCTTTATCAAATTGGTCCACATTGAGGTCCAAAGGGTCCCAAATTAAACTTTTGTCTCATTTCATCAAAAATTGAATTCTTGGGGTTCTTTGATATGCTGATTCTAATATGTACATAGATTTTGGATATTAGACCATAATAGTTAAATGTCCAATTTTAAATATTTCAGTTCTTTGACCACATTCATTTTGGGTCACAAACCTATGCTGTGTTAAATATTCAATCACAATCCAAATTAATAGCTGTTTTAAGCTTAAATGTAGTGTCCATACTTGCTCAATAGTTTAGGGTTTGACCTCTGTGGGAAAATCTTGTTTGCTGTCACTCTGACAGCCTCTTGTTTTTTTTTTTTTTGTTTCAGGACAATAAACTTGTGTATAAGTGCATGGATCTCTGTGAAATTGTACCACAAGGTTCCATTCTTCAAAAGGAATGTTGTGATTGATTTAAGGGGTTATGGCCCAAACCGTTTAGGAATTAGGGGTCAAAAAGGGTCATTAAAGTCTAGGACAATAACTTGAGCATAGGTCTACGGATCTCTATTAAATTGTACCATAAGTTTCCAAAAAAAGAAGGTTGGGAATGATTTTGGGGGTTATGGCCCTAATCGTTTGGGAAAAGTGGGCCAAAAATAATACTTTTTTAATACTTTGCATAAATTGGTGGTCTTTAATATGCTGAACCTAACTGTGATTTTGGATTTTGGATTTTGGACCCCGTTTTTTGAATTGGTCCACATTGAGGTCCAAAGTGTCCAAAATTTGATTTCAACAAAAATTGAATTCTTGGGGTTCTTTGATATACTGAATCTGACCGAGTAATTTAGTTTTTTTTTTATTTTGGGCCAGTATTTCAAATTGGTCCAGATTAAGGTCCAAAGTGTCAAATTGAACTAAGTTTGATTTTAACAATAAATGAATGCAAGGGATTTTTGATATGCTGAATCTAAACATGTATTTAGATTTTTTATTTAAGGCCCAGTTTTCAAGTTGGTCCAAATTGGGGTCCAAAATTAAACTTTGTTTAATTTCGTCAAAACATGAATATATGGTGTTCTTTGATATGATGAATCTAGCTGTGTATTTAGATTTTTGGCTTTTTGGTACCATTATCAAATTGATCCGCATTGAGTTCAAAAGGGTCCTAAATCAAACTTTGTTTTATTTCATCAAAAATTGAATTCTTGGAGTTCTTTGATTTTGGATATTGGACCATAATAGGTAAAAGTCCAATTTCAAATTGTTCAGTTCTTAGACAACATTCATTCTCTGTCTTTGCCTTTGCTATGTCAAATATTTAATCAAAATTTAAATTCAGAGCTGTATTGCACAATTAAGAGAAATTGTTAGTAAATTCATAGTTAGAAATAGATATAGCATCATATTCTAATTGTAGAAATTCTGTATAAATATAGCTTGAAATTTATTGTTCACCATTTGATATTTTGAAAAATTATTAGAGGTAAGTTTTATAGATTTTTTAAAGACATTGTAATAATGATGACGGATATTTTGGAAATTGTTTTTTTCATTTTTCAAGATCTTCTCCTCTGAAACTACTGAACCAATTTCAACCAAACTTAGGCTGAATAATCCTTAGGGTATCTAGTATAAAGTTTGTGTTTTATTTTCTGTTTCGTCAAAAAAACATGGCCGCCATGGATAAAGATAGAACATAGGGGTAAAATGCAGTTTTTGGCTTATATCTCAAAAACTAAAGCATTTAGAGCATATCTGACATGAAGTAAACGTGTTCATTAGGTCAAGAACTACCTGCCTTGAAATTTTCAGACGAATCAGACAACCGATGTTTGGGTTATTGCCCCTAAAATGATAATTTTAATGAAATTTTGCAGTTTTTGGTTATTATCTTGAATATTATCATAGATAGAGATAAACTGTAAACTGTAAAAATGTTCAGCAAAGTAAGATCTAAAAATAAGTCAAATGTCCAAAATTGTCAATTGACCCATTAAGAAGTTGTTGCCCTTTAAAGGTAATTTTACACAATATGTTCATCATGATTGTTAACTTTAAAAAATCTTCTCCTCTGAAACTACTAAAGCAATGTTAGCTAAACTTACGATGAATGATCCTTAGGGTATCTAGTATAAAGTCTGTGTTATATATTATGTTTCATAAAAACAAGGCCTCCATGGCTAAAAATAGAACATAGGAGTAAAATGTGGTTTTTGGCTTATATCTCTAAAACCAAGGTATTTGAACAAATCTGACAATGAGTTAAAGTGTTCATTAGGACAAGATCTACCTGCCCTGAAATTTCAGCCAAATTGGATAACTGATTTTTAGGTTATTGCCCCTTAATTGATAATTCAAACGAAATTTTGCAGTTTTAGTTATTATCTTGAATATTATTATAGATAAAGATAAACTGTACATGTAAACAGTAAAAATGTTCAGTAAAGTAAGATCTACAAATAAGTCAAATGATTAAAATTGTCAATTGACCCCTTAAGGAGTTTTTGCTTTTTAAGGGTAATTTTACATAATTTGTTATAAACCTATCACCAATAAATTTTGTACCTCTAGCTGATGTTGAATAAATAAACACACTGATACATACAGGAAGTCTATTTAAAAACAAAATAAATGTTTGTTCTTATGTTGTGCTGTAAATGCACAGTCCCATGTTAAAGACAGGGTTTGGATACAGTACATAAATTTTATCCCTCCTTGCACAGCACAAAGTCCAATAATTTTAGTGGTTGTCATTTGTTGCTGTGTTTCATATTTGCTTTTCGTTTATTGTTTTTAGCTCACTTTTCAATATTCTCAGAACGCTTGATACTATCCACACTGGTTTGTGTCCACACTTATTAATTATACATTAAAAACTTAAAAGCAAAAGAAAAACTTCGATGAAAACTTTAAATAAAAAACTACAGGTGAGCGATTCAGGCTCTTGAGAGCCTCTTGTTTTTTTTTCGGTTTGTTTGTTATTCTGTATGAATTTATTTTCAGAATGCTATATATATATATATATATATATATTTTTATGAAGCGAACCCCTTTAAAAATTTAGCTAATATTGTCCATTAATAAATAAATAAATTAAATTCTTGGTGTACTTGGATATTATGGTCCATTGATAAATGAATAAATTTAAATACTTGTTGTACTTGGATATGCTGAATCTAACCATGTATTTAGATTTTGGATATTGGACCATAAAAGGTAAAATCTAATTTCAAATTTTCTAGTTTTTTTACCACATTAATTCTGTAACAGAAACCTATGCTGTGTAAAATATTTAATCACAATCCAAATTCAGAGACGTATCAAGCTTGAATGTAGTGTGCATATTTGCCCCAACTGTTCACGGTTCGACCTCTGCGGTCGTATCTAGCTGCGTTCCGCTCCCAATTTTATTGATCATAATTTTCTTTCATGTTTTCTCACATTGTGATATTATTTTAGCTGCCGTTGTGGCTGGAACTGGAGGTATTGGATTATTGGTCGTAGGAACGAGTACGAATCAAGATGATGGACATATAACATACGATTGCTGGAAACCAGTATTACATGACGTATCCGAGGTACCATCCATTGGGATGTATCTCAAGGACCTGCTCAGTCATGCAAACATACAAAAAGTAACAATTGCCACAGGCTGTTATACAAGTTTACCGAACATTGTGATTGAAAATATATGGAAAGAAGAATTCCAGATTGAGTACATGATGTTAAACACAACGGGGGAGATAGTGTGCCATGCAAAACAAATGTAAAATGTCCGTTTAAAAGAACTGATCAAAGACTTAGGCATGGACATATTTCAGTAGTCCACTTACAGTGCCTGATTTTGTAGTATAATAATTTATTTTTTATTACACAAGTTGGCAGTTAAACAAAACATGATTTATAATAATAGCCTTTCTACATAATTTTGTAAATATCAAAATAAACCAATGGAATTTGTTTTTAAACAGTCATCTACAATTACAGCAAAATATAACAAAACATTTGACTGTATATTCAAGCACGCCTGAGAAAATAGTAATATATTTTTTTTGTTTATAAACAACAAATGAATGCAAGGGGAACAAACAAAGTTTTTCTTTGACATTTTTTCATACTAAGAGGAATAACCCAATGTTTAATCACTACTCTTATTTTGTATAGTCTGTTTCATCAATTTTCTGGCAAAAAACGAAATCATTTTCTCTGTAATGTTTTTATACGACCGAAAAGTTCTATCATGTCAATTTTTTTGGGTGGATTCATATTTTTTGAAATGTCAAATTCAGTCAACGTGCATCACTATGCATTATATATAAATTATGCGACAAAGAGGAATGATTTTGTTTAATACAATGACTGTACCTATTATAACAAATAGATGTTAATAACAGAATTAATGGTGGAAATAAGCAAAGATTTACGGTCCGTTCAGGATAACTGTATTTGTCTCGTGAAAATAGGTTGTGATTGCATTGCGCATTTCAGCTTCCGGTAAAATATAGAGTTATCGTCCTTTAAAACCTAACGGCAGGTAGAAAGGCTTATAATAATCTATTTGCCAATTACCGATTTGATTCTGTTATTACACACTTTTAACACACACTTTTAACACAAGTTGTTTGCCTGTAGACCAGTTTCTAACCTGAAAAAATAAGCTGTTGCGCATGCAAGTTTGTTCTTAAAGTGTGTTATTTTATACATATAGTTGTTTAAAACCAATTTTCAATGAAAAAGTAACTATTGAATTCAAAAGTTTTTAGCTTACTGTGACAAAAAATTAAATGTAATTAAAAGATTTGAAAAACTTGAAAAACTTAAAAGATTGTACACATCACGCACAGATAAATTTGCTCTTTTCTTGCTCTTGATTGTCAATTTAAATGTATGCCCCTCCTAAGAGAAACAACTCATACACATAGATCTCAAATTACGGAATTGGCAAAAAGACTATTGACTATTGACTATTGCACATAAACAAATAAAAATATTAAATTTCAATATTATTTCTGTGTATCCCTTCCTAGTTAGTGAAGAGAGATACCAGTCTTATTATTATGTATCTATAATTTAATAAGTATCGAATCGTCTAACGACGATGCCGCACAAACAGAAAAAATTTGAGTCTTAAAAAATAGCCAAATAATACCAAAGGGATAACTCATAAGTCGAAAACGAACGCCACATTCTGTATGTGCCTGTCCCATGTCAGGAGCCTGTAATTCAGAATTGTCGTTTGTGGCTGTATATCATATTTGTTTTTCGTTCCTTGTTTTGTATATAAATCGGGCCGTTAGTTTCTCGTATGAATTGTTTTACATTTGTCATTTCGAGACCTTTTATAGCTGACTATGCGGTATGAAGGCCGTACAGTGACTTATCTATGTCATTTGGTCTCTGGTTGAGAGTTGACTCATTGGCAATCAAACCACATCTTCTAATTTTTATATTGACAATGCCATGGCAAAATAACGAAAAGCGACCAAAAGATAAACATCAGTATGCTAAACACAACATAGAAAACTAAAGAATGAGTAACACGAGCCCCAAAGGATGGGTAAACAGATCCTGCTCCACATGTGACACCCGTCATGTTGCTCATGTAAGTACAAATCCGGTTACAAGTCTAATTCGGTAGGTCACATTCGCGGAAAAGATAACGGGATTGGGGCTACGCCAATTGGAACATATCCAATTTTAAGATTTGTGCAAAGATACTGATGAAAGTTCAAAATATACGAACAACATGACATGCATCAGTATTTTTGCACAAATCTTATAACTTTTAAATTTTGTTCTGTTTGTACGGCATTGTCGTAAGATCCGATACTAATTAAATGTGTTGGTTGGTTGTTTTCTACAGACTCCTTAATATACATTAATATTTGTATTAAAATTAAGTGTCATTTATCTAGTAGATATAACTTGTATGCATTATTTCAGAGGTGATGTGACTTATGTTAATAGCAATGAAAGGTAAAGCAAATAAAAGCAATATGAATTAACCTACGTCTTAATCTTTAAAAATAACAGAGCCTTGTTCCGGACTTAAAAACAATGAAAAGAAACCTTTTCATCGAAAAGAGCAATTTCGTACAGTGATTTGTCAATGCTTAAAAGATTTAAAAGGAGTAAGTTCGGTAAGGGCTATACTTGAAACCGAAAATTTTAAGACGTTACGCACGATACTGGTGATACCTGACGTTACATTAAAATAACGTCGAAATACACTTTTTGACTGACGTTTTATCCAAGTCGCTTGTTGTTAAACAAACGTATGAATTTATGTTTGTCACGATTGTCCCCCCCCCCCCCCCCCCCCATTCGTTTTTACCTCTTTAAAGCATTCCCTACATGTACATGTATATATTTTCATATATTATTGGTTTCTATAACTACTGTTTCTTTATAGGGATAAATACTGATTAATAAATTTCTAGCTTTTTATTTCATTAATACATTCTAAAACATTTAAATGTGTTTCTTCTGTGATTCGAATGACATTGTTTGCGGTTACTTCCGAACAAATATAGACCACTGACGCAGCAGGTACAACCGCTTTCCTGTTCACAAGACGATATTGAAAAGGAGAGTTCGTTTTGTTGTAATATAGACCACGAAACACAGGTGTTCCCGCAGGGAGTAAAGATCCCCAAGAATCCGTTGTGTCAATGCGTAACGTTTCCATGCTTTTCTCTACTTTCAGCATGTAGTACTCCTCCTCATCGTCGTCAGTATATAACGCAACTAATTGACCAACCGAAACTAATTCTTGCAAAGACACTTGTTCATTTTCTTCATTTTCTTGTGCATCCGCTCTGTATTCTCGCTTCATTTCCCATTCAGTATAACCACCAGTTTTTATCGAATTAGAACACTGGTCATACATGTAATGACAACAGTTTACACAGAAACAAGAGAATTCACTGATATTTATCAATCCTTTAGCAGAATCACGACTAGCTCTTACTTGGTGAAGAGATCGTCGGAATGCTAGGCACCGGCTTAAAAGACATTCTGTTGTCACGGTGAATCGTTTCCGCATATCGGAATATTCTTCTCTTACAATGTGACCTCGGTTGTGTTAGAAATGAATTCGCGTATTCATAGAGATCTTTTGCTGTCCTTATCTGAGTCTGTCCGCGTAAAATGGCACAGTCGGCTTGTCTCTTAATAATTCCTCCAGCAGCGTCTTGTGGTCCTGAAATGCACAGATAAGTTTTTTATGTCAACTGCATGACATTGGACCTTATCATTTTACCGCGTTCAAGGTTTATGATTTTTATAATAGTAACAATACCGAAAGTCACGAGAAATATAAGAGATACATTGAATACCCTACAGCGACTGCCAAGATGAAGAACAGAAATAAAAGCCCTGTTCCTTGATACAACGTATTTATTTTTGTGTCAGGTGTAATTTAGTCCGACGCACATGTTTTATCAAACTACATTTATTTCAAATTCGATATAATAAAAAAAACATGTAAAAAAAAAAACTTTCTAGAATAATGTTTTCAAACATTAACCCATAATGTGACGGATTGAAAGAAAACAGTTTACCGATAATGTGAATACCCGACCGCTTTTAAAATATTTACATTTTACACAAATAACTCATAAATATTCAATCAAAAGCTAAATAATATGTATTCCATTGTACTCGAAAATGTGAGAAAAATCATTAAATCTGTGTCCAAGATATCTAGCGTAGAGACTGACAGACGGACTGACATTCAACTGTATTTAAAGGCAATCATAGTAGTAAGTTCGAGGATAATAAACTAAATTATATATTATAAATACCTTTTGCATGGGAAGTTTCGAAGAAATTTCTTGTGAAATGTTGATATCGAAAGTCGTCGCTTGTTTGACTAATATCTCCGAAACAGTGTCTGCTCTTATACTGGGCTGCACACCCGTCAGTAAACTCGTGCATTGTTTCTACTGAATATGAAATCGACTGTAAATATTCCGCTATATAATTTCGGACTTGGTGAACAAAGTATTGATCATGAACTAAGTCTGGGCTTATAACGAAAAATTGTTCCGTGATAATTTCAGGAAAGTCTTCTGAACTATCAACACCATCGTATTCTAGCAATGCATGTCTATGTAGAATAGTAACATGGACCGACACTTCGGTTTTTTGAAAGTAAGCACTTTGAATCTCAGTAAGCTCGGAACACCTGTAATTTTCACTAAAGTCATGCACACAAACACATTGCTTTTCTGGCATATTTCTAACAAGATTTTGAAATTGTTCATTTTGCCATGTAGCTCTGTGCTGATGCACTGGAAAAGTTTCAATTAGTTTTCTGAAATATGAAAACAATTCACCAACTTGACTTTTTTTTTTCACGAGCATTAGTTTCTTTATGGTTTTGTTCCCTTTAACATTAACGCTTACATTTCCAAACTTTTCCCACTTTACAAATTCCGCAGTGTCAGATACATCAAGTTCACAAGGCAGAAAATTCAAGATTTTAACTCCACAATCGGAACAGTTTCTTTTAAGGCACTGTAAATTGTGTGAACCATCAACTTTTTCGCATAATGTTGCATTAACGACATCAGATATTGAATCGTACACAGGAGTAGAATAGCATTCATTCGGTTCATTTTCTATCAAAAGTTTCTTTCGGAATTCCATACACGATTTAAAGACAGTTTTAAATTCTACATGGTACTTGCAGCAACATGTTTGTCTATCCTTAGGTCGGACGGGTCGCACAAAGTAGGGTTTGCACCTTTCGAACATTCTTTGAGCTATTTTAATAGAAGGGTTTTCTCCGATAAAGTCCAAATACACATCGGTCTGTGTTTTTTCTAGTATGTGTGTCATGTGGCTTGAATAAGTTTTCGGACCAATGCGGACCCTTTTGATATCTGCCTTGTTACCAGTCGGACGAGAAATACCAGGCTTACACCAGAACTCATAAATACGTTTCTTCGTGTCAGGTGTTATTGCATCTGATCTAGTTTTTCTATTTGTGTAAGTCCAGCTTGATTTTTCAGATTTAAGTATTCTTGTTCTAATTGCATGACCACGGCTAACTCTTCTTACCGGTAATCCCAATTTCCTAGCCAGTTTCTTTCTGCATTTATTGTCACTGATTTTTTCACCACTTACTGATGAAATAATAACATTCATCGTTTTCAAAGAGTCGTCCGATCTTTTCCTCTTACAGTTGTCAATAACTGTTTTTAAATCTTCCGTCAAGGCTTTTGATGTTTTGTGTTCTTCTATTTCCTCTGGCGAAGAAATCGTGGAAAATCAAAATGTGTACTATTTAGATGCATGATGTTTTTTATTAGTTGTTATTGGCTTTGAACTAGCTGTCAGTAGCTGCGAGCACTCTCAGATCTGTACTTAGTGTCTTTTTTGTTGTGGGGATGTATAAATAACCTGCCGCGTCCGGTTTGTGTTTTTGTTATATGTCTTTCTGCTTTGTATCGATCTGATGAGTTAAGCCATTTTCAACTGTTTTTTATAGTGTGTTCTTCTGTTGTACTGTTACACCACTGTCCCAGGTTAGGGGAGGGTTGGCGCCTTCAAACCTGTTTAACCCCGCCAAATTCTGTATGTGCCTATCCCAAGTCAGGAGCCTATAATTCAATGGTTGTCGTTTGTTGCTGTATATCATATTTGTTTTTCGTTCCTTGTTTTGTACATAAATCAGGCCGTTAGTTTTCTCGTTTGAATTCTTTTACATCTATCATTTCGGGGCCTTTTATAGCTGACTATGCGGTACGGGGTTTGCTCATTGTTGAAGGCCGTACGTTGACATATACTAGTAGTTGTTAACTTCTATGTCTATTGGTCTCTTGTGGAGATTTGTCTCATTGGCAATCATACCACATCTTCTTATTTTTATATTTGCCATGAAAAGAACGCTAAATTTTCAACAAAAAGACCAATTTCCTATTAAGTAATTTTTTTGGGCTATGATTCATTGTGATATTGATTGATAAATCCTGATTTTAAATTTTATCTAGGATTGGGGGCCATATTAAGGCCTTTACGAACCTACTCCTCTGAAAGATCAGGATGTTCCCTCCGACGCCGCAGACGCTTTTTCTTTAGATTGTAGTCGGTTTTGACTATCAAATGTTATTTGAATCCTATGTACATAACGAGATTAAAAACTGTCCGGTAAATCTTTTTGACAGAATTTAAATCTAGTATAACCGTAAGTCGAATTGTATTGACACTGAAAGATCAGGAATTTCTCACTGTCATTGAAGCGGTTTCCAGTAGTCTTTTGCAATACATTTTTAATATCAAACTGCACTTAGAGTCATTCGTACTTATCGAAACTTCTTCTGAATAGCCTCTGTATCTACAATTAACAATGCATGGGCTGGTTATAATATATCTAAGGAAGCCGGTTAATGTCATGGTGGAGTTTTATTTTTAAGTCGTTATACCGACTTAGCTTACTCGTTTTAACGACTTAGCTAACTTTTTATAACGACTTAGCTTATCTAACTCGTTATAACAACTTACCTAACTCTTTATAACGACTTAGCTAACTCGTTTAAACAACTTAGCTAACTCGTTATAACGACTTAGCTTATCTAACTCGTTATAACAACTTAGCTAACTTGTTATAACGTTAATATTTACACCATTTCAGTTAACTTGCTTTAGTTATGCCATATTAGAAATACAGTTTTTAAATTTATACTTTTTAGATAAATATAAAAATAAAATGCCTTAATTAAGTTGGATTTATCTATCATAAGTTAATAAATGAACTTAATTAAAACAATTTGAAACAGTATAATTGATTAAAACTCCTTAATTAAGTTTCCTTAACATTATAGTGTTTTATTTAAGGCAACTTAATAAATTTAAGAAATAAAGATATTTAAATTTACATCCATAAAGTTAGTATGAAATAAGATTGGCATAAATAAATGAGTTAAATCGCTTATAAGTTAGTAAATTATCTAAATTAAAACAATTTAATGCAATATAGTGCGTGATATTGTATTAATTA